ACTTGTGGCACCTTAGAGACTAACCAATTTATTTGAGCATAAGCTTTCGTGAGCTACAGCTCACTTCATCGGATGCATACTGTGGAGATCTTCTACACTTTCCACAGGATGCATCTGATGAAGTGAGCTGTAGCTCACGAAAGCTCATGCTCAAATAAATTGGTTAGTCTCTAAGGTGCCACAAGTACTCCTTTTCTGTTTAATAAAGTGAGAGTAAGACAAGGGTTTTAAAACACCTCAACTCCTTTGAGCCTAGAAACTCCTAACTCAATACAACAATACCCCAATCCCTCTGAATGCTGTGTTCCAGTTCTGGGGAGACCTCTCAAAACAGTCCAGTGCCTTCTGAAGACCGTGCCTCCTTGGGGTGTCCAATCACAGGCTTGCAATCCCTCTGAATGCTGACTCTCACCTCTTCTGCATGTTGTATCCCACCCTGAGAATCCTCTGCCCTCAGGAGAGCCCTGGGACAGCTCATCCTTGTGAATGCTGCACCCCCCTGCCCGGGAGAACCCCACCCAACCACAGCCAACCCTCCTGAACGCTGCACCCTGTTTGTGGTACCCCTTGGGATAGCCTGACTGCTGCATCCCATCCTTATGCAGATCCCATTCCCAAAGGAACATTTGGTCACTCCAGACACTGTTTCCCCAGGGGACATCTCCTGTCAATCTCATCCAGCTATCCTGATTGCATTGGGGAAGAGTGAGGTAACAGAGAAGGGAGGGTGTTTGCAAAGTCATCACAGCTCAGCCTCTGTAGACTGCAAAGGTCACTCTGCAGCTCCCAATAACAGTAACTAGTTGGGCAAGTTTCCCCCACCATGAGCCCCAGTCATGTCTGGCTTGTCACAGCCACAATATATGAAAAATAGGGTTTTTTTAAGCGATCCTAGTTCTGGAATAAGCAGTTAACTTGCCTCTGATTTGGAATGTTAGTAAAACAGAAGGTGTGGATAATAGTCCTTTATTACACTACACTTTTATGTAGTTATAAATGTAGGGAGCAATGTCTTATACATGCAACTTTCCCAGGAGGATGCATATTTTGCTGTACATATATAATCTATGAGAATCTGTTGGATCTATGCTGATGTACACCAGCCAAGGATCTGGCCCATTGTGTATAAGCTGTGGGAGCATATTCAGAACTGCTACATTCTAAGCATCTCCCTGAGTGAAATTTTGGCAGATGTGAGCATGTGAATTGAGGGTTGTTTTTTTCATTCAGCCTGTCACCTCCTATCTAATAATAAACTCATGCTAGTACTCCTTTGGAGATAGGTCAGTTTTACAGATGAGGAAATTGCAGTACATATAGGCAATGTGACTTTCCCAAGGTCACTCAGTGGCAGAGCTGAGCGGAGAACACAGGATCCTTGATTCTCTGTCTTTGTGTATTCATTGAGACCACTTAGCTTCAAGGGGACTATTCACATGCTTAAAACTTAGCATGTGCACAAATCTTTCCAGGCCTGCAATACGTGCACTCGCTGCTAGTGTTATCTCCTCCTGGCTATCCAGAAAGGCTTATATAGGCCCTGCCTGTTCCTGCCCAGCTGAGCCTTTTCTAATTAAATCCCCCCCCAACCCTTCTCCAGGTGCAGCCTGGGCAGTTAATTGGTCATCTTAAACCCTCCAAGCCTTGTGTGGGGTAGACACCCCATCACAGAGCTTGAGAAGACAGGTTACATGAAAAGTGAAGAGAGACAGTCAAATATTTATAATTTCATATAAATGTGTATTTTTGTTGTTATTAATAAAGTCAGCTATCCTAATGTGACCATCACCCTAGCTTAATATTGTTTTTCCACCTCTGGCTTCTGATTCTGATAGGAAACCTCACTATAGCATTTTGCTATTATTATCTCTGCTGAGAAGTGGGGAGATACTACTTGCGTTTTGTGTATAGATTATATGGGAAATGCAAATTTCTGAGGTTCTGCTGAATTTATAATACAAATCCTAAACCCACTGCTTTCTTTTTATATATGATAAATCAACTTGTAAGATATTGTCTCCTTGCCAATTTCAGGTAGGAGAGGCTGCTGCAGCCTGGCTGCTTTCCTCCTGTCTCTCTCTTTTCTTTTCTTTTTTTTAATACTAACACTTGCTGCAGGTCTGCCTGGAAGGCAGGGACAGACATTATTCTGGCAGTCACCATGGCTGCACTGGGGGAGAGAGACAGAAGGGCTGTTACATCACAGGCCTGAGGGCCGGGCTAGAGAAAGTGAGTTGACATTATTGTGCCTATGTGGTATGAGGGGTATATTGGTAGATCGTCTGCCTTCAGAGGCAGATACACATTCTTCATTCTACACATATCCCTGTATAGCTAGCTAACCTATGGAAGCATTACTGTTAGTCATAACATCTACTTAAAGTATCTGACTGATTTCTTGTTGGAGAATGTGTCTATAGACATTACACCCCACCACTTCTTCCTTCACTCACAATTCAGATCCAATATGTGTTATCGCTTGTCTCTCTAATATCATGAGACTGACATGGCTACAATAATACTGCATACATCTGCACCCACTCAAGCTTGCAATACTTTGGCCCAAATTCTATGTGCATAGAACCTGTACCAGGACAGAGCCCTGCTAAAATCAGAGGTCCTATGTATAGAGCTCACTGCAGGATCAGGGCCTTAGTGATGCTTTTGACCAACTCCATCTTATTGGTAAGTCCTCTTGTTCTAAGGTATTGAAAGGATATGTGGAATATTTTGTATTGGTTATATTGCACTAATACCCGAAATGTATGAGCTTACATGTTTTTCCCTATGTTACTTATGAAGATGAAAATTAGAGTATTAAACAACAGAAACACAATTTTCTAAATGTCTCTTTTGAATGGATGATGAACACAGACCTTTGTACCACCTAACCAGGCTTGTGAGACCTGTGTATCACCAAGCCTCAGCCTTGTGTGGGATTTCTTATGCTGTCAGACCGGTCTCCAGAATCTCAGGCCTTTCCGTACGGCAACTTTGAAAGTGACATTGCACAGAATAGAGAAGGCAGAGATGGATCCTGTTCAAGCAGACTGCAAAGAGGACAATTCCTGAGCTCTTGAAACCTTCTGCTGCCTAGAGTCACGTGAAGTCAGAGAATATATTCTTTTCTTGATTTAAAAGACAGGGGTGTTTTTTTTTTTTGTCTTATAAAAAGAGAAGACTTGGGCAGAAGGGTGCAGGAGGAAGCCAAAAATGACAAGGAAGCCAATTTCCATTGTAAACAGACAGACAGAAACACCTAAGAGTAGGAAGTGGAGAATTATACCGCCCCACCCCGCCCCGTGCAAAGGAAGGATTGTCTAGTGATCGAGGCGCTAGCGAGAGACCTGAGTTTGATTCCTTGCTCTTCCACAGACTTTTTGTAAGAATCTGGTCAACATTAATTTAGAGCCCATTTTGGTCTAGGTAGTGAGAGTTTTGGGCCTATGGAGAACCCTTGTCCTTAGGGGGCAAAATGAATGTTATCAAAATGAATATGCGCTTCCCTAAATATAGGGTATCCTGAAAGATCTCCCAGTTTCTATTCTACAGTTTTGTTTCAGAAATATTGCTCTGAGGATGGTGTATAAATTGCTTAGTTTCTTTGCCTCAGTGCCCCACCTGTGCAATGGGGATCTACTGTCCAGGGGAGCAGGGAGGATAAACATATTACCGACTGAGAAAAAAGAAGAGGGGGGAGGGATAGCTCAGTGGTTTGAGCATTGGCCTGCTAAACCCAGGGTTATGAGTTCAATTTTGAGGGGGCCATTTAGGGAGCTGGGGCAAAAATTGGAGATTGGTCCTGCTTTGAGCAGGGGTTGGACTCAATGATCTCCTGAGATCCTATGAACAGGAGGACTTGTGGCACTTTAGAGACTAACACATTTATTTGGGCCCACGAAAGCTTATGTTCAAATAAATAGGTTTCAGAGTAGCAGCCGTGTTAGTCTGTATTCGCAAAAAGAAAAGGAGGACTTGTGGCACCTTAGAGACTAACCAATTTATTTGAGCATAAGCTTTCGTGAGCTACAGCTGCTGTTGGCTCACAAAAGCTTATGCTCAAATAAATTGGTTAGTCTCTAACGTGCCACAAGTACTCCTGTTCTTTTTGCGGATACAGACTAACACGGCTGCTACTCTGAAACCATACAGCCTGAGAGGTGCTCAGATACTGTGGTAATGGGGGCTGTACCTTCGACCCAGAAAGAGGCACCTGAGGCACCCCTTCCTCCTGCCACAGGGTGGGGCACTAACCCCTAGCTCTGCCCATAACCCTTTTTCAGTGTTGGATCTCGAGGCAGCTCCAGAGGGGTCAGTATCATCAGCTCTGATTTACAGAAGGGGAAACTGAGGCACACAGCGGGCAGGTGGCTTACCCAAGCAGGCCAGTGGCAGAGCTGGGACCAGGAGTCCAGGGTGCAGAGTCCCGGCTGAGGGCACCATGCACTGGCCCGCAATGCCCCCATGATCCCATGCTGGTGGGGTGGGAGGGCTGACCCCTCCCCCCATGATCCCATGCTGGTGGGGTGGGAGGGCTGACCCCTCCCCCCATGATCCCATGCTGGTGGGGTGGGAGGGCTGACCCCTCCCCCCATGATCCCATGCTGGTGGGGTGGGAGGGCTGACCCCTCCCCCCATGATCCCATGCTGGTGAGGCGGGAGGGCTCACACCCGCTCCACACGGCAGGGACACAGGGGGACTCCCTCCTCCGGAGGGGGTTGGGATGGAGCTAATGGGAGGGGCCAACAGCGGCTCCCGCTCCAGGTGGGGGGCGGGGAAGACACGTGCCTCCCACCTCAGCGGCGCCGCCGCCTGGCAGCAGCCGGCAGCCGCCCGCGCCCCGCCCCGCCCCGCCCTTGGCCCTCGCCCTGGGGGTGGAGCCAAATCCAAGCCCCGCCCCCACCTCGCCATCTTCCCACCACTATTCGAGAGGGCAGATGTCATCGCGCGTCCCCTCCTCCGATTGGCCGGCGCGGTCAGGCGTCTGGCGTAGGCACGCAGCTCGTCGCCGAGGGGGTCGGTAGGGGAGCTGTGAGGTCAGCGGCACAAGATGGCGTCACCCCGTCGCGGCTCTGGAGGTGGAGACGCCGCTCGGGCTTCCTAGGGGAGGGGCGAGGCCGAGAGCGACAACCGGAGCCGTCAGCGGGACCGGGGCCGCCGCTCAGGTGAGTGCGGCCCCGGGAAGTTCCGCCCCCCCGATCCTGAGCGGGGAGCCTCCGTCCGTCCTCCCTGCCCCCGCCCCCCCCGATCCTGAGCGGGGAGCCTCCGTCCGTCCTCTCTCCCCCCCCCCCCCGATCCTGAGCGGGGAGCCTCCGTCCGTCCTCTCTCCCCCCCGCCCCCCCCGATCCTGAGCGGGGAGCCTCCGTCCGTCCTCTCTCCCCCCCCCCCCCCCCCGATCCTGAGCGGGGAGCCTCCGTCCGTCCTCCCTCCCCCCCGCCCCCCCCGATCCTGAGCGGGGAGCCTCCGTCCGTCCTCTCTCCCCCCCGCCCCCCGATCCTGAGCGGGAGCCTCCGTCCGTCCTCCCTCCCCCCGCCCCCCGATCCTGAGCGGGGGCCTCCGTCCGTCCTCCCTCCCCCCGCCCCCCCGATCCTGAGCGGGAGCCTCCGTCCGTCCTCCCTCCCCCCCCCCCCCGATCCTGAGCGGGGAGCCTCCGTCCGTCCTCTCTCCCCCCGCCCCCCTGATCCTGAGCGGGGGCCTCCGTCCGTCCTCTCTCCCCCCCCCCCCGATCCTGAGCGGGGAGCCTCCGTCCGTCCTCTCTCCCCCCCCCCCCCCCGATCCTGAGCGGGGGCCTCCGTCCGTCCTCCCTGCCCCCCCCCCCCCGATCCTGAGCGGGAGCCTCCGTCCGTCCTCCCTGCCCCCGCCCCCCCCGATCCTGAGCGGGGCCTCCGTCCGTCCTCTCTCCCCCCCCCCCCCCCCCGATCCTGAGCGGGAGCCTCCGTCCGTCCTCTCTCCCCCCCCCCCCCCCGATCCTGAGCGGGGGCCTCCGTCCGTCCTCCCTCCCCCCCCCCCCCCGATCCTGAGCGGGGAGCCTCCGTCCGTCCTCCCTGCCCCCCCCCCCCCGATCCTGAGCGGGGAGCCTCCGTCCGTCCTCCCTGCCCCCCGCCCCCCCATCCTGAGCGGGGAGCCTCCGTCCGTCCTCCCTGCCCCCTGCCCCCCCCCCGATCCTGAGCGGGGAGCCTCCGTCCGTCCTCCCTCCCCCCGCCCCCCCCCGATCCTGAGCGGGGAGCCTCCGTCCGTCCTCCCTCCCCCCTGCCCCCCCCCCCGATCCTGAGCGGGGAGCCTCCGTCCGTCCTCCCTCCCCCTGCCCCCCCCCCCCCGATCCTGAGCGGGGAGCCTCCGTCTGTCCTCCCTCCCCCTGCCCCCCCCGATCCTGAGCGGGAGCCTCCGTCCGTCCTCCCTCCCCCCCCCCCCCGATCCTGAGCGGGAGCCTCCGTCCGTCCTCCCTCCCCCCGCCCCCCGATCCTGAGCGGGGAGCCTCCGTCCGTCCTCCCTTCCCTGCCCCCCGCCCCCCCGATCCTGAGCAGGGAGCCTCCGTCCGTCCTCCCTGCCCCCCGCCCCCCTGATCCTGAGCGGGGAGCGTCCTCCCTGCCCCCCCCCCCATCCTGAGCGGGGAGCGTCCTCCCTGCCCCCTGCATCCCCCGATCCTGAGCGGGGAGCCTCCGTCCGTCCTCCCTCCCCCTGCCCCCCTCCGATCCTGAGCGGGGAGCCTCTGTTGCCCCCAGCCCGTCCCACTCCCCCGCTCGAGATCCTGAGCAGGGAGCCTCTGTGCCACCAGATCACCCTCCCGGCCCCCGATCCTCAGTGGAGAGCTTCTGTTACCCTCCACTCTCCTCACGCACCCCATGTCTCCCCTATATCTAGAGTGCAAGGTCTCTCATTCCCCTGCACGCTGATGCCTTCTCCTCCCTATCTTGAGCAGGGTCTTGTTGGCCCTCCCATATAGCCCAGGTTCTCCCCTGCCCCCTATAGTTTGTGGGGAGCCTCTTTTACTTTTCCTTACTACACATACCTATCTATACCAGATGCAGCCCCTTCATGGCTTTAGTAGGGGTTATACACACATCCTCCTATTTCTCTCCCCCCATACTGCCTGGAGACTGATTTCCTCTCTTGGTAGACAGTGAGGGCTCTGATGTTCCTCTCCTGGGGAACTGAGGGATTTATTTCTTCCTCCCCTGTCGAAAGCACACCTTTGGCTCTCAATGGCTACCACACTTTCCAGCTGTGCATGGCTGGGGGTACCCGTCTCCACTTCCGTGCCTTTGTTTTCAAGCCTGCTGCCATTTTCTCTGCTCTGGTCTTCCAGGGCGGGCTGCAGGCAGGGACTCACCTTGTTGATCTGCTGGCCTCTCCCAGTGCTAACCCTAACCCTTTTTTATCACAGTCTTGCTTCACCCAGTGTGAGTCACTTTCCTAGGCACAGGATTTCGGTACTCTGCCTGGTCATTGAGCCACTTAAAGGAGGCTGCACTGTAAGCGCGAAAACAGTACTGTCTCCCTCTGATGTTCAGCTGTGAATTGATGAATGACACCTAGGTGCTGACTGCCACCTTTCAAATGTTTATGGTTATTAGAGCAATTGGGTTAGCTGGCCCGGACGAAGCACCTAAATGGCAATCTGTCCCAGCGAGCTCACACTCGAGGTTGTAACAAACCACAGCAGGTGGATGGAACAGACAAATAGGGTGATAGAGAACAAGCAACATTAAAACAGGCGCGTGTGTTCCAAAATAGGCAGTATACCTGGCTTGTCCATGGCTTAGCCGTTTTCAGATGGTAACGGTCTCTAGGCATCATGGCAGAGATTAATCTTATGGAGGGATTGGAAGGAGGATAAGGTGTTAGCTCTATGGATTTTGATGGGAATTTTTCCCATTTGGAAGGAGTTGAATAGGAGGTGTTGGTGAGAGTGGGGTGATCTGTATTTAAATGTTGTCTTCCGTTTCAGATCTTAAGTTTTAAGATGTCTGGAAACTGCTTTTGAAAGTACCATGTGGTGCACTCATTTATGAAAAATTGTTACATCATACAAATGATAAGTAAACACACAACTAAATACGTTTAGTTCTATAGGTCTCCCAAGTGAGGATCACAGAGCCTTTATGTCTGCTAACTAAACCTTGCGAAAATCATCCCACATGATAGGTAATGCCTCTGTGGTACAGAGGGTAAACGGACACAGAAGTTAAGTGTCTTGCTCACGCTTTCGCAGGAAGTCTGACAAACAGAGTCACAAAACCCAGTTCTCCTGACTCTCAGTCCTGGATTGGGTATAAAAATTGTTCCTGAAGTTTAAATGTCATTTCTCTTGTGCTGTATTTCATAACTAACAGGTGAATGTTGCCAAAAGTAAAAACTCTGTCAGGAATCCCAAAGTTGAGGATTTGATTAAAAGATGTCTAATTAATATAAACATTTGGCAGGGTTTTAAAATTCTAATGGTATTGTTTTTTGTTTGGATGTAAACATTCCTTTGTGATATTTGTAATCAGCATTGTTCTGATTCATATGTCATAAAGTGAAAGTGACTAGAAACAAAAGTGAAAGTTTCCAGACTTAATAGCATCTGAACTCAGTGAAACACAAAAAATAAACATAAAGGAGAAAATTAAATTAGGGTTTTTCCCCCCCAGAAATTTCAGGCAATGTTACTAACACAGATAAAGAAGTAATCTGTCAGTTTTCCTTTTAATATAAGATTAAATTAAATTTGATCTTTCATTTTTTTAAAATGGTTTTAATTTAAATTGCATATTGTTAAGGAAAAAAGTTTGAGTACCTTAAAAGAAGACTGATCTTGTAGCTGGAGGGGTAGACAAATCTTACTGGATTTTTAGAAACTGTGATTGTACCTTTAAAGACCTTGTGGAAGAAGACATAATTAGAGCTTGTTGGGAATAGTTTTCCATAAAAAACCACCAATTCATCAAAACCAGAACTTTTTGTGGGAATGTACTAGTTTCAACAAAAGTTTTGGTGCGAAAAGTTTCTTAAGTCCACAGTGGAATTTCTGGTCAAATTGAGAGTGAGAAAATGAAGAATAGATAATAGACCAGTGGTTAGGATACTTACCTGGGATGTGGGAAACCTGGGTTCAAGCTCCTACTCCTATGTATATTTATTGAAACAAAGTGGGATTGAGACTCATCTGGGATATACAGAAGAATAGCAGAGTGGGGACTTGACCCTTGGTTTCCCACATCCCAGAGAAGTGCCCCAACCTCCAGGCCGTTAGCTGTTCTGAGGTTGGTCTCTTTTTTTGTGGAGAAATGTTTCTGTTTTGTTCCAAGGAGGAGCAGGGGAAAAAATTGAAATCTCAAAATCTTCATGGGATGGGAAAACTGTTTTCTGCCCAGCTCTAGTCATAATCATCCAAGATACGGTGCTGAAAGGGCTTGCTTTTAATCTAAGAGATGGAGTTTGTAGCTGGGAACATAGGAATTACCATACTGGACAAGATCCAAATCCCTCTAGTCTAGTATCCTGTCCACCAGGTGATGGAGGTGCAAGAACCCGACAATAGGCAGATGAAGTGATCTGCCCCCACAATAGGTCTCATTCTGATCTGTAACGGTTAGAGAATGACTTAAATTCTAAAGGTTTCAGAGTAGCAGCCGTGTTAGTCTGTATCCGCAAAGAGAAAAGGAGGACTTGTGACACCTTACAGACTAACAAATTTATTTGAGCATAAGCTTTCGTGAGCTACAGCTCAGTTCATTGGATGTATGCAGTAGAAAATACAGTGGGGAGATTGTATATACACAGAGAACATGAAACAATGGGTGTTACCATACACACTAACAAGAGTGGTCAGGTAAGGTAAGTTTTTTCCTAATGTCCAACCTAAACCTCCCTTGCTGCAATTTAAGCCCATTGCTTCTCGTGCTATCCTCAGAGGTTAAGGAGAACAATTTTTCCTTCCTCCTCCTTGTAACAACCTTTTACATTCTTGAAAACTCTTATGTCCCCTCCCAGTCTTCTCTTTTCCAGACTAAACAAACCCAGTTTTTTCAATCTTCCCTCATAGGTCATGTTTTCTAGACCTTTAATCATTTTTTGTCACTCTTCTCTGGACTGTCTCCAGTTTGTCCACATCCTTCCTGAAATGTGGTGCCCAGAACTGGACACAAAACTCCAGATGGGACCTAATCAGCACAGAGTAGAG